GTTGCGATTAACTTGTCAGACGCCCGGACACGATAACCCTGCATCTACCTGATCCGAGGGGTATATACATTTAAATTTGATCTTTTAAGTATTTCTATTTACGTAGCCTGATAATTCACCTAGAAACATAGACTGAGAATACATCAGAGGCCGAATTTGAGCCGCGGCTTTAATTTGAGACGCAGCTAAAGTATGGTTGGTTCCACTTAAAATTGTATCAAATGAACCCTCTAATAATAAGTTATATGAAATATATATACTGGAAGTTATTTATGCGTTGTTATTTAGAGTCTGACTCACGTCCTCTATAATACAAGTATTCAATTAATCAAGATTTCACTGAAAAGTTTTATTTCTAATTAGTTTTCAAGCTTATAGATAAATCATATCAAATGATTTTAAAACACATAAGATTTTAGCATTAAATCTTCTCTAAATATCTGATGAATGTTTACTATAGTGAGAACTAATAAATAGCTGAGGCGCCTGTGTTGCTCCCCTAGCTATATTCTGCTCCTGGAGTAGAGATGTTACAACCTCTCTGAGGTTGAACCCAACCCTAGCTCCTGGTTCTAGTAGTATTGCCTCCAGGTTTGTTAAATCCTCCTCCAACCAGTCCTGGAGACACAACAAATTAATGATTATAATGGAGACACATCAAATTAAATGGTAATAACGGAAACACAGCTACCAGCAACTTAAGTGCTAATAATGGATATTTCAATCAATTGGGTTGAGAACAAATACCACGCCTAGAACTACTATTGACCTTTCATTTAACCATAAATGTTGTCTATTCTACTACAGAAGGAATTATTTTTACTAATTAGATAATTCAAACTTAGATATATGACTTACTTTGCTCTTATACTGTAGATATTTAAAGTGAGTGTTCGCGAAAAAAGAAAGAAAGGGGGTATTATACACTTACGGCGAAAAATAAGCGCTTTTGATTGCTACTAATCTTACTTCTATCTGTTGCGTCTATAAGGAGAAAATTGTAAAAAAAACGACTTTTACCGAAGAACGTAGCGTCCATACAAATTCAGAAAGTTGCAACCGGCAACTCGGATCGTAAACAAATCAATTAAATTCCAAACAAATCATTCAGATATTACAAACAATAGTCAGCGACTATTTTTGGACGCCTTCATATATACTTGAAATTTCGTAATATTTTTTATTTTTCATGATCTCAGAGGTACTTTTGAAAACATTTATTCCTGTTTCGAGGATTTATTATACTTAAATATCATTTACTTTTTTCTGAAATATTATTTACTTAGTTCTGCAATATCATTTACTTAGTTCTGAAATATTATTTACTTAGTTCTGCAATATCATTTACTTAGTTCTGAAATATTATTTACTTAGTTCTGAAATATTATTTACTTAGTTCTGAAATATTATTTACTTAGTTCTGCAATATTATTCATTTAGTTCTGAAATATTATTAACTTCCCCCCCCCCCCCCGACCATGATAATCTCACCTCAACCTCTCTAAGCATATCGACACAGTGCTGAGCCGAATATTTATTAACATCATCAGGTCTGGAGATTTCAACTAGAGTAATAACTCCGTTCCATCTGACCAGCTCAGCTAGTAGTTTCCTACTTACCCTCCTCGTCTCATCCTCTCTCTGGCCTGCATAGTTGGCCAGGTTGTGCAGACGGAGTTCACTAAACCTTGAAATATTATCACAGTAAAATATTATGTGCTTACTTCTTCAGAGCTCGTGGTTAAACGGCTGTGGCTGAAATCGTAATTCCTTAAACAGGTTTAAGGGTTAATCTTAGACCCAACTAGCTCTGATGACAGCTTGTGTACCTAGTTAGGACCAGTGAAAATAAAACAGACCTTGGTTGGTCTTAGTTGAGAATTAAACTTAATGTCGAGTCTTTTTTAATCCATTTCCAGAATCCGAATGGAACTTAGTTCTGAAATATTATTTACTGAGTTCTGCAATATTATTTACTGACCTGTGAAATATTATTTACTAGTTCTGAAATATTATTTACTTAGTTCTGAAATATTATTTACCGAGTTCTGCAATATCATTTACTTTGTTCTAAAATATTATTTACTGAGTTTTTCAATATTATTTACTAGTTCTGTAATATTATTAACTTATTTCTAAAATATTATTTACTGAGTTCTGCAATATTATTTACGTAGTTCTGCAATATTATTTTTTTATCTCTGAAATATTATTTACTTAGTTCTGAAACATTATTTACTGTGTCTGCAATAAGATTTTACTTAATTCTGAAATATTATTTATTTAGTTCTGAAATATCAATTGATGGAATTTTTCAAAAACTACTGTTTGATAACGGAACGTGACCAAGATTACTTGAAGCATGATTCTAATTAGTATTACCATAAATGCGATATAAGCCTTCATATATACTGTGATTTAATACCATATTGTTGTCTGCTCATCTCTACTTAAACATCTAAATCCATATTTGCTATAATCTACAGTTTCATTCAGAACTTTAGTCACATCGGAAGAATTTATAAAATGTCGTTTTCTAAACCTATTGATAATGGAATGCTGCAGATATTTAGTTTTTTAGTTAAATAATTATATGGAGCTCTTTAGAACTGTTCCCCCATATTTCATGGCTGTTTTTATATTTCTACAAGTGGCGAGATTTCGGTAAAAAGTATAAAACCCAATGGAAAATTGTCAGGCCGACAATTTATAAATTCTTTAGATGTTTCCGAAGCTCTGGGTTAAACCAGTACCTGAGATGTAGTGCCAGAAACCAGTACCTGAGATGTAGTGCCAGAAACCAGTACCTGAGATGTAGTGCCAGAAACCAGTACCTGAGATGTAGTGCCAGAAACCAGTACCTGAGATGTAGTGCCAGAAACCAGTACCTGAGATGTAGTGCCAGAAACCAGTACCTGAGATGTAGTGCCAGAAACCAGTACCTGAGATGTAGTGCCAGAAACCAGTACCTGAGATGTAGTGCCAGAAACCAGTACCTGAGATGTAGTGCCAGAAACCAGTACCTGAGATGTAGTGNTAATAAATAAAATATATGCTATCTAACAATTCGAATTGTACAACTAAATAAATTATAATATTTGTTTTCAATGAACAAAAAGAATATTCAAGAAATTAATCTCATTAAACTTTTCACATAAATCAAATAAAACTTTTTTCATTTGAATTACCTAACACAAAAAGATTTTTGAATATGTTTAGGTAAAGCTGTGGTTTCTGAGATAGATTCTTTCAAATTCCCTGTCTGAGTAGAATTCTCATTTAAATTCTCAGATGTTGTCTGAATGCTTGCATCCTAAACTTTGAAGTTTGAAAAACTTATTTTATTATGATGGTAAGAGCAAAACGAATTCATTTTCTTTTTCTTACCTTTTTCTCCATTGCCAGTCAAAATCATAATTTGCGGATTTTGAAAAATATTTTCGTGGATTACACACTCTCCACTTTTTTAAATATACGTAACTTATTTTGAACGATAAAATCCTTTTTTTCGTTTGTAAATTTTCTTTTCCAAAAAACCGCTTTCCATGATTTTGATATGTATAAAGTTATTTACACTTTGCATGTTTCTGGAACTTCTGGAACTTAGTTGCAGTATAGTCTCTTAAATATTGCGTAGGAGACGACTTTTTTTAATCAAATTCGTTTTTGAAGAAAAAAGTGCAAGGAGTTCGCATACACCTAGTTTATCACAGCATTTAGCAATAAATTTTTGTAAAACGGTTTAAAAATCTAATTATTTACACAGAGACCTGAGGTCGCAACTAGTAGTGCAGATAATATCAAAACTTCAATATCCACGATTAAAACTTTTGAATTCAAGCACAGTGGACTAAGGTCAATTTGAATTCGAACTGAACCGACCACCCCTTGTACCGGCCTTACTGTGTAGTGACGCACAGCAAGTATCGCCCCGCCCCTATTCAATGTCAGTCCAGTTTCAACTTTGATGGCGCGTCCAGACTTTTTACAGTGCCAGGCCTATCATAGGCCTATTTTACCCACCCCGCTTTATTGACTTGATTAGTTCAGTGTGCAAGGGACTTCAATCATTATTGTGAAATCTTGAATGGAATATATTTTTTGTTGGTTTTCTGGGTTTTTTATCCGACAGGAACTTTTTATTGGTAAAATGCATAGTCCTTTCAAGTTTTTTTAATGGATTGACTAAATCTGTTCAATAATGCTCTCTTAAGTTCAATAGTTCTCCCCTCCGGTCTTCTCTAAAGGCCAATTTACTAAATTTTCCCCTCTTTAAGCTTCTAATACTGTTTAAACCAGCTCATTGTTTATCTAAGAATATATATAATGTAAGTATATAAGCTTGAAATCCAAAACATTTATTTAATCTTGGAAGGCTAAAATTGCATGAATAAACCTAGCGCTAACTCTTCTGTCATAAATTAAGAAGTTTGTTAGAATTTGAAATTTTATCTTACTTAAATTATCTTAATTTTCTTTTTCTATTTATTGCTTTGAGAATTGTTAGAAAGTTACACCAACTTTGGAATCAATTGGTTCACATATATTGATTAGTTGCCGCTACATTTTGTAGTTTCATTGTGATCAAAATCTAGAGACATGTTTGATTATTATTCAAAGCCAGTATGAAGAGAATACTCAAAAATATAAATTGTGTTATTTCACTAAAGTCTTAACACCCTTTAAACAATCCTTTAAACAGTGATGATTTTATGATCAAAGTATCCTGTGGCCGAATTTAAAGAATTTGAGCGGCGGTTTAAATTTAAACCGCGGCTTAAGTATGGTTGGTTCCACTTAAAATTGTATCAAATGTTTCAAGATTTAAGCCGGCGCTAAATTTAAACCGGGTTTTGGCGGATTTAAACCGCGGCTCAAATTCTTTAAATTCCATCTCTGCATGATTAATAAGAATGATGCAGTACAATTTCTCATCCACCTACCTGTGTTGTTTATCGAAATCAAGGGGTTCGGCACACCCGACAAAGCGTGACAATCCTGAGAAGGAAACTTGTGAGAGTTCAAGTTTACGAAACCGAATTAAAGCTAAATTTCTTAATTTCATTCTATTCAAGACTAACAGATTTAAAAATAAAAACAATAAAAAAATTTTTTTTTTTAAAGAGATTTGTGTGTTTTAGTGTCATTCTTATAACTACAATAAGTAGTGTAATTTCGGGTTTTGCTGAATTTAAATGTTTAAAGTTCCATACTCTAAAACTGAATTCTGTATATTTATAGGTTAGTTTGACAGTGATCTTTATGCTAGTGAGGTCTTTTAGTTTATACAATATAGATAAATATATAATACAAAATATATTTATATATACAGTATCTACGAAATTCAAGTTTAGGCCTATATAATTGATGTATGTACTCTTGCTTTACACTATGCATATTGTACATTTGTTTCATTAAATCAAGCTGAATTCTAATTCGAGAATTGTCAATACAAAAAATTGAATTTAGGATAATTATTGATATTTGTTGATTCACTTGTTTCTATGAATTGGCAGGTGTGAACCCACATATGTTTTTACGTATTTAGATATCTTTATAAGTGATTTACATTTCTTCCATTTTCTTATTTTATTCATTCCCTTTTTTATACTTTAGAGCTTATTTTGTTTACATTATATTACATTGAAAGATGACATAACATAAAGAGCTGAAATTGTCACTCAAATCCAGTTTAAACCTGAAATACATCTAGTTTAATTTCATTCAGTTATTCAACTCAGTTTAACAGGTTTATTTGTGAATCATCCTTGTTAGTCATAGTATGGAAGAACCGAATTTCAATTGATTTTTTTACAATATCAAAAATTCGAAAACATAATAATAATTTTTTTAATAAACGAAAATTATAAAAAGTTACAGTTAAAAGAAAGAAATTTACTTTGAAATGGAGCAGAGAGACTGATGAATGTTTTATATGAATTCAACATTTAAAGGTGAACATTACTTTTCACTAATGCATCATGCATGAAGGAAAATTCAGATCTGAGCTATGTTGGCCGGGTTTATTTTGGAAATCTATGTGTAAGCAGTTATTAATTCATAGAAATCCATGACATTCAATTAATTTGATTAAACTCGAAAAAATCTTAAATCTTCAATTGCAGGATTTAAACTCAGTCTGAGCTGGGAACTTTAGAACGGTGGATATCGGGATTAATGCTTGATTCACTCTTTTTCTTAATCTCCAGATTAACATAATCTGGCAAGATTATCTTAAATGTGTATGAAAAACGATAAAATTCAAATTAATATTTAATCATCTGAGAAACTGTAGCAGCTAATCAGAGAAAAGCGGGCAACCAATGAGAGAACAGAAATATTCTCATTGGAGAAAACACTTAACGGATATCCAAGGAGAGAGAAAACGAGTGGATTAAGGACTAAAATGAAAAGTTTCCACAGTGGATATTCGGATTAAGAGGTCAGGATTAAAGTTTATCCATTCTAAAGTTTTCAGCTCTGTTATTGGTTTTCTATCAAAGTGTTCGCGGATTTCTAAACCAACGTTCATAAAGGGACTATATACGTAATTTCGAGTCATCCTTTGTTTATAGAGTGGATAAATCTGATTCTGGATTAAAACACCTTGAATTCTGCTATTTATGTTCTGTGTTTCTGCTGCATAAATTCCGCACGTCACTTTTATATATGAGAAACCATAATTATAGAAATTAGAAATTTTTGGAACAAACATTTTCATTAGAGGTTGAGAATCATGTCTACGTCATCAGGTTGCAAAGATGCAAATTTAGGATTGATTCCTTTTAAGTTTTGGTAAACTTGGGTTCTGTTTAGCCTTGAGGAGGAAATATATTTAGAATTCCTTCTTTAATCCACTAGAGACAAGTTATATATTTAAAATATAAACTGACAGAGTCACAAATCTTAATAATTTTTATATAAATGCGAACAATTGTGATCACGATTGTTATTTATAGTATCACATTATACCTAATATCGTATAAACCTCCTCTAATACATATTCATTTATCTAAACATCTAATCGATTATAGAGCAACATTATGATAGTGATCTCATTACTAAAAGTTATTAAATTAAATTAAAGTTATTAATTAAATTGAAATCAAAAACTAGTTTATAAAAAAATTTAAAAGAATTTCTAAAAAAATTACACTTTTATGCAATTGTCTGAGTATAAGATCTCCGATTTTTAATAAATTTATAAAAAACTTTAACTTTTATGATTACAAAAGGTATGTTTTAGCTAAAACATCATTATATTACTGTTACAATAATGAATTGTGCCTTTAATTATTCAGCATAACACATTTTTTTGTGTTAATTCAATAATTCTATTGTCGTTTTTATGAAATAACGTTTTATAATTGACATAACTACAAGAGAGGGGCTTTCACTATGTAAAGAATTGCTTTAAAATATTAAAACACGGAGTTGTTATAATTAAAAAAATACAAAAAAGGGATTATTTAAATATTTTAAATAGAATATTTCTACATAAACTACATTTACATTTAAATTAGACGTTGTTAGCTTAAAGAGTCTGACAACAAGGTACATAAAAAGATAATTTTAATATTTACTAGCTGAGGGGCCCGGCGTTGCCCGTGAAAATTTGAAGAAAAAATTTTTTGAAAATTTAAAAAAAACATTTTTTTTCAGCCTATAACACCCCCGGCCAAATTTCAGCCCAATCGGTCCAACCGTTTGGCCGGCTATATATGCATCATATATATATATACGAATGTCTTGTATTAACTCGTTATTTCATGACATTTGTTAATCTTTCTCTGCTTATGAGTTAAGAAGGTTCACAAACAACTTCCAAACTTCGAACCCGATATTTGGACAGTTTGAGTTTTTTTACATCACATGTAGGAAGAATTTAATATTTTAAAAGCTGGAACCGTATTCTAGAATATCATCTCATATACCAAGGCACCTTCAAAGTTATTACAACTGGTCAGTCGCCATGATTATAACTGTTGAAAAAAATTATTTTAGGGAGAACATTGAGAAAAAGGCCAAAAAATGCCGTATTTTTGACATTGTTTGACCTGTTAAAGGGAGGCTTGTAATCTTTTTCTCTGGGTTTATAGCCATTTTTGGTTCGGGAACTATCAAATGTCAGACAGTAAGTAAGAATTTGATATGTTTTCTTCAATATTGCGGACTTTCAGCCAACTGAGCGCAAATGAAAAAAAGACTTTTAAAAATCACCCTGTATATTATTTTATTCTCTTTATTCTTTAATTATTCTTAATTTTTTATTCTTTATTCTCTTTTAATTTATTCTCTTTTAGACCCATAAAAAAAGACAAGTTTAAACCATATTATTAGGTTAATCTAATTGTTTTTAAAGTTCTGAAAGACTATGTCTTTAAAAGTCGTAGATCGAAAATTTTGTAAAAAAAGTATCCGTAAATGCACATATGCGCAGAGGAATTGTTTGAAAATTTGAAAAATTAAACATGACATGAGTTGCGACATTATAATGTATTCCTAAATGTCTTCATTAGAATGAGTTTTATATTTAAAAATAACATTTTTACTAACAAAATTCGTAATGCTATACAACTGTCACATTACAAGTTAAAATTTGTAAAAAATAAAGTTTACTGCATGAGACATGAGCTGAACACATAAAAATGGTGGACTAACGTATAACTTATAGTTTCAATAATCCATAGTTCTTTCTAGATTTCTTATGTAATACAGAACATTTTTAAAAAAAGAAAGATTTTATACAAGCATACAATGTACAAAGTTCGCTTCCATTTGGAATGGACTAATTGTGATCGGAGAGGACTTTTTTTGGTATTTCATAATGTTAGAATAAAGTTTTATCATGTTTTTTGTCTACAAATATCAAGAAAAGTTTTTTTAAAGGGAGTGTTCGCGAAAAATGAAAGGAGGTATAGGCTTAATGCGATAAAAAGGCACTTTTGATCGCTACTAATCTTACTTCAATCTGTTGCGTCTATAAGGAGAAAATTGTTAAAAACGACAAATACCGAAGAACGTAGTGTCCATACAAATTCAGAAAGATGCAACATACGACTTAGACCGTAAAAAAAAACTATTTAATTTCAAACAAATCATTCAGATATTACAACCTATAGTCATCGATTATCTTTCGCCACATTTGTATATAGTTGATTTTTCATAATAAGTTTTAATTGTTATGATCTGAGAGTTACTTATAAAAACGTTTATTCCTGTTTCGAGGATTTTTGGTAATGAAGACGACATTTTCATATTTTCCAGGAATGTTCGAAAACAAGTTGTATGCTAACTATTATTTTAAAAAATAAAATCAAAACTAGTATGAAAAATCAACTGTATACTAATGTGGCGAAAGATAATCGATGACTATAGGTTGTAATATCTGAATGATTTGTTTGAAATTAAATAGATTTTTTTACGGTCTAAGTCGTTTGTTGCATCTTTCTGAATTTGTATGGACACTACGTTCTTCGGTATTTGTCGTTTTTAACAATTTTCTCCTTATAGACGCAACAGCTAGAAGTCAGATTAGTAGCGATCAAAAGCGCTTTTTTATCGCATTGAGCCTAAACCCCTTTCATTTTTCGCGAACACTCCCTTTAAATTTAGATTTTTAAATTTAAATTTAAATGATGTGCGACAGACCGTGTATCCCGTTATATAAATTTATATAAGATAAAAAATACTTATATTTACAATCTTTATCTCTTAGAACTAGAGTAAGGTTTATGTAAGATTAAATCTTATATCAATCATAACTTAATTAAAAGTCACTGAGAAGAATTAAGATATTATGAATTTCTAATCTGAAAACGGATAAATATGCTTTTCTCATACTTGTGCACAAAATCAAAACTGGAGGAGCTACGATGTCACAAAGTCTGACAATAGACCATAATTTTGACCCTTTCCTTCTGTATAGTTCACAGTGTTGACAATTCTCCCAAAAATGTAAATAATCCCTGGCACAATTGTAGATTCAGCCTGCATTAAAAAGTCTCATCAATTTTTAAGACAGGATCGACTTTGAATTGTCGCAACGCCTTGGACTTTAATTTTACCGCTCTAACTCACTTATGCTTTTCTGTAGCCCTTTACATGTACATTTTAGCATTTTATAGCATTTGTTGTTAGCTTTGGTTTTCAAGGAGTAATTGGAAAAATTCTCATCGATTTAGGCTTTAGAGCTTAAGACCTTTAAATCACAATGCTGCAGTTTACTGTGTAGTACCAGGCACAGTGAAATTATACTTCACTGGACTTTTACTTGTTATTCAATTATTAAATAAGTCATTAAAAGACTATATTCAAGGTATAGTACTTAATTTACCCTTAGAATTGTCAGATTTTAAGAGTTTTAGGTCGTCTTTACAGTCTCATCCTTAATGAGTCACCCTGTATCTAGTATAAATCAGGAGAAATAGATAAATCAGAAGAATTAAGAAAGTTTCGAAAAAAATAAAACCAATTCTCTTCCTTCCTTTAGTAATATTCTCAACTTTTTTGATTTTTGAGTTATCACTTAACTAGTATACAATGACACCTATTCTATTTCAGAATATGGCTCAAAGGTGTTTGTGATTGAACTCTGTACACTATACACTGTACCGCACTGGATACTGGATACTGTACACTGTACCGCACTGGATACTGGATACTGTACACTGTACCGCTCTGGATACTGGATCCTATACACCACTGTAGAATAAAATGTCATTTCATCATCTTTTCTTGATCTTCCTAACTTTTCAAACACAAGGGAAATAAATACAATAATATAAACCATTAACAATTGTTAAAATATTCAATTTCTTCGACATTTTTCAATTTTTTCTTCATTTTATAGGCAAATCTTTGAAATGGAGAGCAAGAGGTCATCGATGAGCACCCCCCCCCTCTTTTAATGAATCTGTTACAAAAAATCATGGAATGATATAAACCCTCACGTTTCACGATTTCAATTATCTAGATACTTGAAAAATATTAATTCCATGAACTTTTAAGAAAAGAAATTGAATACGGGAAATAAACTTTGAAACTTCTTCAAATAAATAAGAAATTCTAGCTCTTGGTAAAAATGAGAAAGAAAAACAATACGTAGAAGATAAATATAGGAAACCAGCAGTTGGGGTTCTGGAACATGTTCTCGCCCGTGAAACCGAGCATCAGGGGTAGTGCTCGGTTTCTGCCTTATAGAAACCGAGCATCAGGGGTAATGCTTGGTTTCTGCCTTATAGAAACCGAACATTATGGGTAATGTGCGTTTTCTGCCTTATAGAAACAGAGCATCAGGGGTAGTGCTCGGTTTCTGCCTTATAGAAACCGAGAAATAGGGATAATGCTCGGTTTCTGCCTTTTAGAAACCGAGAATTAGGGATAATGCTCGGTTTCTGCCTTACAGAGCATCAGGGGTAGTGCTCGGTTTCTGCCTTATAGAAACCGAGAAATAGGGATAATGCTCGGTTTCTGCCTTTTAGAAACCGAGAATTAGGGATAATGCTCGGTTTCTGCCTTATAGAAACTGAGAAATAGGGATATTGCTCGGTTTCTGCCTTGTAGAAACCGATCTCCAATGAAAAGTTGGGGCTCTCCAACGAAATGGTCGTAATGACCGACCATTATCACTAATGCTCGGTTTCTATAAGGCAGAAACCGAGCATTACCCCTAAAACTTTCTCGCCCTTGAAACTAAGCATTAGGGGATAATGCTCGGTTTCTGCCTTTTTAAAGCTAAGTTTTAGAATTAGGAAAGAACGTCTACGTTACTAGGGGATAGAAAATTATTTTTGTCTAAATAGTGTTGAAATCCACTCAAATCCAACAAGGACAATAAAATAAAATAAATAAAAATAAAATAAAAATTATAAACATAAAATTGAGCGGAAATGAGAAGGGAAAATAATTGTTAAAATGAACATTATTTTACTTTTTGTATTTTTGTTTGAAAAGTGAGGGCGGATACAAACTTCTTGACTGGAGCTAATGATATCCTGGTCTCCAGGAATACAGATGGAGATCTCTACGCTACTCCCTTCAGTCTACAGATAGGGAAGAAGGATGTCTGGCTACCAAGGTAACAAAACCTTTATGTAATTCCTAAATCATAATAAACTAAAGTGAAGGAATTGAGTCTTTGACACAAACTAAAATTTTTAATTCATATAACTTTACATGCAACCTGAGGGTGTACACCTTTGAAATTTCAGACTTATATTATTTGATCTAACAAAATTCATAATAAGAAATATCTAAGGTCGAAGACATTGGTTTGGAAAACTATAGGGAATAGAAAATCGCAATTTGTGGCAAAAACTCAATTCCTTTAATTTTATTTCTGAAGAGCTCTGATAAAATAAAGTTTTTTTCAGCTGTCTTTTGGGTTTATAAAGAAAAGAATTTGATTTACTAGGTCGCAAAGTCGTTCCAATAGATCCGAGGAATTTAACCTTATCCTCAAATTATAAAGCTTAAAGGGACTGTAAACGTAATTATAAAGCTTAAAGGGACTGTAAGCGTAATTATAAAGCTTAAAGGGACTGTAAGCGCAATTTATAAAGCTTAAAGGGACTGTACGCGTAATTTCAAGTTATTTTTCATTTAAAGAGAAACATCCCCAATTTACAACGGTACCCTTTAAACATTGGACTGATCAAGGATTTCAGACATATCTTTATTAATTTACTGAAACCCTTTTAATAGCTAAACACAATGTTTGCAAGCTGTTATATAGTTAAGAAATATCAATAGTAACTTTCTAAAAGTTGCAGGAAATAAAAATATATCGTAAATAAATCTACTCATAGGAAAGGTTGGATGTTATAACTCTAAGTATACCAGACTTTTAGATGAGGTTAATGTATGATGCCCACCCCCCCCTCTCCTCGATATAAATATTAATAAGAGAAAAGGTTTTCCAGTTCCCAGTCCTAATTCTCACTCACCAGATTACATAGTATATCATATATCATATATTTGTGATGGATCAAACTAATTTTTTTTGTAGTAATGCGCCAAATTTGTCAAAATCTATTCCCCTCATATACCCCCCCCCCTTACAGAATCTATTCCCCCATCCCCTACAGAATAATGATTGTATGGCAGGATGAGGGCGGCCCTGCAGGAGGCTTGGAGGTCATTTTGCGGGGCTCATGGCGGCCCTGCACCCCCTCCCTCGCAGGATGGGCCTGGTGGAAAGATTATGCTTTATTGAATCCTTGTGTCTGATACATTAGTAATATTTCCCTAGGGTACTATTTATATTATGTAAAACTATATTATTTGATATATATCAATATTGTTTTTATATCTTACACATAAAATGAAGGAGCTAAGATATTTTTTGAAATCAGAGGTGCAATGTGGGATTTACAAAAAGGGGGCAATTTATACTTTAACCAACCGTTGACCGACTTTTGACCGATATTACCAACCTGATAAGCATGATTATGAGATCCGTATTTAAACATTTAAGGTTTTTTTAATAATAAGATGTCCCATTAGAATATTTTACATTTTCCAGATTCTTTTCAAGGATCTTTGATTATAGTACTACTAACTTTGAATGTTCAAAAACGATGCCACAGTGGGCCAGAAGGCAGAATTACCCATGGGCCATAATTCCCACAACAGCTAGATGTTAAGTTACTTATATTCATTTAAAAAACGATTAAATTGTGTTCAGCAACTTTAAACTAAATTTTACTTCCTAAATCCTAATCTTGGGTTCCCTCTCCGAATTTGCCTTCAAAACAAAATTAGTCTTGGGAACCCTTGGTAAAGTAAAATTACCTTAATTTTCCTGTAAAATAGTTGTAAATAATTAATATATAGCTAGAGGGTATAAGTTTGTGTACTAAAGAATCTAATCAAGCTAGAATAATTTTAAAAATCTTATGTTCCTTTTTCTAAGACACAAACTGTAATTTCTAAATCTCTACATCTGTGCACCTCAATGTCGTAGACCTTAAATATTTCAAACTATGAGTTTTGTTTGATCAAAAAATCGAAGAATGAAATATCAAAGGTTTACAACGTCGAATTCCGCAGATATAGGAAATAAAATATTTAAGTTGTTTGAAAACACTCAATTTTCTCAAAGCATATTAAAACTCGTAAAGCTATGCTATGACGTAAACTATCCAGCTTTAACATTTTCCATAATATGATTTCTCCACAGAATCCTTGTTACACAGAGCAGCGAGAGGCGTTAGTGCGAGATATGTGCAAAATTCCCTGGATTCCAGGAAATTTAAAGTTGTTTCTTCAATACATGGAACGTGTGCAGTTTTAGGGAAGGGGAAATAAAACTATGAGGAGGGAAAGACGAGAGGGGGGATATTTGAAACACCTTAAATCTATAATCGTTTAGGTCTGGACATACTGTTAGCTTGAAACTGAACGGTGAAATGGTTCCTCTGTCAATGACTCTAGATAGTAAAGGACATGCTTACTTCTCTACTACTGAGGGAAAATATTGATTAAATCTTATCAAACTAGAAAAATGAACATTTTTACGAAACCCAAAATTTTTTGCATTGTTAATATCCAATTCAGGAGGTACATGTTGTCACTTTTATAAAAAAGAAAATACTAGACTTAAAATCAGTTTAGAGATGGTGTTTTAAACTTTGTTCTCTTGCCATAGATAAGAGGAGTTAAACTCTAGGAAACATAAATTCATGGAGATTTCCGAGATTTAGATTTTATGGATCTAGGAAAATATAGAGAACCAGAGTATTTAAATCTTAATTATACTTACTGCATTACATTTTTCAACCCCGTCCATGTTAGTCCTTTTACATGCATTTCTTACAATATATAATACTGCATTTAACAAAATATTAACACTTCATGAGTTTTCTTTTTACAAAAAAGTCGAGAGTATGGCACAAAGATTGAGACTGCTATGAAAAGTTGAATATATTTATAAGACTGAGTTAGCTTTAAAGTGTAGGTAACGCCTTGGATTCTTACATATTTTTTGCTTAAAAGCTTGCAACCTATCGATCACTGTCATTGACGCATCAATGTAGATAATCAATATATACTTTGCTTTGTTTGTTTGTTTGTCTGTTTGTGTCCTATAAACGTCAAAACGGCTGAACCGATCGGGCCCAAATTTTTTGTGTGGGACCTTCAAAAGCTAGCCTCCAACAAAATTAGATTTTCATAAAATTTTGAAAATCTACGAAATGTATGCAAAAGAAAATGTTCACAATTATAATGTGCCCTGAACGTATAGTCTTTTCATATTGTAGAAATTTGCGTCTATGTTACTAGAAGGTAATGATTTGGGCGTATATTTATTTTCATGATATACTTAAGAGTAAGATCGAGTTTTAATCTTGTTTGAACTAGACCCTGAAACCTAAGTATAGGTTCTGGTCTGCTCTGCTAGGTATGGCTAGAGATGGACGAACGAAATGGATCGTTCAGAGAAATGAAAATGCTTGTCATTTGAAAACGAACAATTTAAAATCTCGTTAGAATGAAATTCAAAAAATTATCTTTTATTTACTGAACGAAAAAATTGTTGGAACAAAATTTTTGAAAATGATAGTTTTTATAATAAATTAACGATTTTTTCTCTCAAATGTTTAAAAATAAAATAGATGAAAAATGAACAATAGTTTTGAGAACGAACAAAATGCAGTTTTTTAACGATAAAAATAACAAACGAAATGGGTCGTTCACGATAATGAAAAAAGTCGAACGTGCCCATCTCTAGGTATGGCTGACCCTGATCCTCATCAGATGACCGATAGTGCTACTCCAGCCCAGCTGGAGACCCTCAACCTCATCAAGGGGCAGAATACATTAGGTAAAAAACAACAATACAGTGTACCCAGGAACAGGTACACTGAACCAAAAATAGATATACAGCTAGACTTAAAGGAACTGTAAGCGTAATTTAATGCCTGATTTACAACGGTACCCTTTAAATATTCGACTATTCATCAAGTTTAAACCTCTTTCGAAAACCACTTGAATTCCTGTAAAACGCGGTTTCTGCTGCGTACAGGTGTGAACTGAAAACAACTGATGCAATACTAGTGCCATGTCTGCTGCGCACAGTGTGAACTCAACACACCTGATGCAGTACTAGTGTCTGTTGCGTACGCCGAACAGTGTGAACTCAACACAGCTGATGCAGTACTAGTGTCTGCTGCGCACAGTGTGAACTCAACACAGCTGATGCAGTACTAGTGTCTGCTAGGCTGCGCACAGTGTGTACTCAACACGGCTGATGCAGTGCTAGTGTCTGCTGCGCACAGTGTGTACTCAAGACAGCTGATGCAGTACTAGTGTCTGCTGCATACGCCGTACAGTGTGAACTCAACATAGCTGACGGAGTACAAGTGTCTGCTGCACACAGTGTCTGCTGCGTACGCCATACAGAGTGACCTCAACAAAACTGCAGATGCAGTACTAGTGTCTGCTGCGCACAGTGTGACCTCAACACAGCTGATGCAGTACTAGTGTCTGCTCCAAACATTGTATACGCAACATAGCTGATGCAGTAATAGTGTCTGGTGCGTACAGTGTGAACTCATGGCACAGCTGATGCAGTACTAGTGTCTGCTGCGCACAGTAGGACCTCAACACAGCTGATGCAGTACTAGTGTCTGCTGCGCACAGTGTGAACTCATGGCACAGCTGATGCAGTACTAGTGTCTGCTGCGCACAGTAGGACCTCAACACAGCTGATGCAGTACTAGTGTCTGCTGCGCACAGCGTGTACGCAGCATAACTGATGCAGTATTAGTGTCTGCTGCGTACAGTGTGAACTCAACACAGCTGATGCAGTACTAGTGTCTGCTGCGCACAGTGTGTTATCTTTGCACGGAGAGTCATTCCAATTAAAGATGTCTTGTAGGGGGTAAAGTTGGTAGACACTATGTATCGTGTCATGAGTATTGAGTATAAGTATTTATTTTTTTTTCTCCAGAAAAAATACATTTATACTGATGTGTAATAACGCAAAATCTTGCACTACGTGCAAAATATTGGATTTCAATGTTTTCTACGTTTATCTTTCTCTTATTTGAATTGTTTACAATCATTTGTTCTGTAAATTACTTGATATTTTCAATTTTGCTTATAAAAAAGGTATCGATATCCAAGGTTATAATGGAAGGAAAGTTATTTCAGAGGTTTTCGCTTTTTCTGTAGTGTACCGTCTCTGGGCGGTAATGTAAACACAAGCCTGACATGGGATCCATCTTTCACATAAAAAATCAATGATATATTCTGGTCTTAGGAAAATATGAATTATCAAAATTATCAAAATTTAATGCTTTTAACCTCCTCGGATCTATTCTTGCTTACAAATTCCGCCTAGAGAGAACTGGTTTCAATATGTACGCAGAGTATACTCAACTGCAATTAACTTTCTCTGCATTACAATCTTGATGGAATCCATCTTTCACATACAAATATTCTGGTCAAAGGAAACTCTTATGGGAATTATCAAAATTATCAAAATTAAATTCTTTTATAACCTTGTCAATATCTATCCTAATCATCTAATTAAAATCATTGATTTGAAAATAGCAATTTCTGTCTATTATTATTTTATAAAAAGGTCGCTTGATAAAAAAGTAAATATTTGATTAGAATTAAATATTGTTATTTGTTTTTCTTTTGTTTAGAGTACCACGTGATTACCTCCTCTGGTTCAATTGTTACTACTTCAGGTAAACTCTTTTTTTTATTTTTTTAAATAAAGTCTTTTTCTTTCTTTTTAGGAATCAACCAGATTAAAATAGAAATAAAAAGTTAAAATTATTTTAAATAATTAAATATTAAACTTGAGCAAACTCTTTTGTTTAATTAGAAATTAATTTAAAATAAATCTTTGTTTTCTAACTTTTTAATATTTATTGGAACTAAGTAATTACATTTTCAAGTAATATTTGGAAATAATAAAAATTCTTTCCTGATTAAATTTTTTTTTTTCTAGCAAATATTTACTTTTTGGACTCTACACAGAAGTTTGTGGTATCGGATATTGACGGTACAATAACTAGGTCCGGTAATATATGTTAATCATTTGAAAAAATATTAAAATATAATATAGTTTCAGAATATATTAGAAAATACAAGCCAGTGTAAGCTAAATTATAAATCTATGAACATAAATATTGTCACTTATAATAACCTAATTAACGATATAATAACCTAATTACTGATTGCTTAAGTGCTTGCGTATAAATTCATATCTTTCTGTAAAATGTATGGGACATACATAAAATGAATTATTAATTTATTGCAATTTTATGTTATTATGTCATTATTACGTTGTTTTAAACATTATTACTTACTGTCATGCATTATTGATGTGAATTACACTTAAGAATTTAGAAACCTTTTTTGAAATTTTGCAAACTATATTTCACTTTTCAGGGGGGTGGAGGCTCAGTGGGACCTAAAAACCCCCTGGAAACCATAGATTTTTGATTTTTTGATTTTTGATTTTGATTTCCAATTTGATATGAAATTTATTTTGCTTGATTTTTCAATAATTTAGTCCCCTTGATATCGCTTTTCACAATCCCCCCCTTTTACCCCCATCTTTTACACGAAACTAAGACTTTTATCCTATAAACCGTGTTTTTTTTAAAGAGAATTCGTACCATAATCTCATTTTAATTTTGAATGTTGTAGACTCTACAGTGTTACACTAGACTCTACAACAAAAAAAGTGAAAGTCAGAAAACCAAAATTTGCATAGGTTCCATCGGTGATGTCAACCCTTAGTATTTAAATGCAAAAAAATGTTGATCTAACTTGATGAACTAAGGTGCAATTATGGTTTCAGAAAAAACTTTGCATACAGCCCTTTTTTAGGATCGGAGGTCATTGACCTCCATCAAAATTCGGAAAACCGAAAACAACTCAAACCTGATGCAATGCTCGGATCGGTAACCGACAAATAAATTCTCTAAAAAAAGGTTTCGGAAATAAAATCCTAAATTTTGGGACTAAAAAATTCCTGTGGAGAAGAAGTCTCTGTAAATAAATAATAAATAATAAAAAAATGTTGAGACTTTATTTTCTAGGACCAGTACACCAGTATACCAGTATACCAGTATACCAGTATACCAGTATACCAGTATACCAGTATACCATTATACCAATATACCAGTATACCAGTATATACCAGTATACCAGTATACCAGTATACCAGTATACCAGTACACCAGTATACCAGTATACCAGTATACCAGTATACCAGTATACCAGTATACCAGTATACCAGTATACCAGTATACCAGTATACCACTATACCAGTATACCAGTATACCAGTATTCCAGTATTCCAGTATACCAGTATAACAGTATACCAGTATACCAGTATACTAAATATACTGAATTCTGTATGTAAAGCCTAGAAAACCCATAAATCCCCGTTTTTATCCAAATTATAGATTTTAAGTCTGAAATAATGATAGAAATTAACAGGACTTAAACCAAACTTTTTCTAGAAAATTTTCATATTTCACATTTATGTTGCACTAGGCTTGTAGCCGCGAGATAGTATAATAAAGTAGGAGCAACCGTTTCAACATAAACATATCTTAAATGCAACTGTTCGACACAGGAGCAACCGTTCCTATATAAACACATCTTAAATGCAACTGTTCGACACAGGAGCAACCGTTCCTATATAAACATATCTTAAATGCAACTGTTCGACGCAGGAGCAACCGTTCCTATATAAGCACATCTTAGATGCAACTGTTATAGGAGCAACCGTTCCTATATAAGCACATCTTAGATGCAACTGTTCGACATAGGAGCAACCGTTCCTATATAAGCACATCTTAAACGCAACTGTTCGACATAGGAGCAACCGTTCCTATATAAACACATCTTAAATGCAACTGTTCGACACAGGAGCAACCGTTTCAACAAAAACATATCTTAAATGCAACTGTTCGACGCAGGAGCAACCGTTCCTATATAAACACATCTTAGATGCAACTGTTCGACCAGCAGATAACTTTCTACATAAAATAATCAAATCAAATATTTATTACGTTTGAAAAAAAGAGTTAAAAATGCAAAGGAAAAATTTATCAACAAGTAAGTAAAAACAAATATTTTACAATGTGCTTATAATATGTATCAGTATGTAGAGTACAATACGTACATGCAAAATTAAAGTCATGTATACAGTGTAGAATGTCAATCAATTTCAAGTACAGAATAAGCGTTGACTTTTCACTTAAAAGCTTATTTGAGCTCAAAAGGTTTTATAAAAAAAGAAATTTTGGCACCTTTCTATTTTCTCTCTCAAATTTTATCTCAAAGAAAATTGAAATTTATATAAAGAAAAATTCGATACAAAGTACTAAACAAAGAACCTTTTTTATAACTGGTAAATATAGTAAAATGTAATACTGTGGCGGGTTTAAGAGCTGGATTTAGGTAGGGTATAATTAGATTTTGTGTCTAAAAACATCTTCACATTGAGTAGAGAGTAGGCAGCAGAAAAACCATCTTATTCTCGTGCGCCCATTATTATGACCAGGATTATAACGGAATATTAAAACGTCAAACTGGGAAGGGGAAGGAAGGGGGAGCAAGAGGGGAGGGGGGAGAAGGAGGAGGGATAAAGATGAAGGATGAGCGTATAACGCAAAAATTAGACAATGCATGATGGAAAACTCAAATTAGAAACTTTCATAAGAAAACTAAATGTAAACCTTTACAAGCGTTAGATCGAAGCACACAGGTTTAGATATTAAAAAAATTCCAAGACGTTTCAATTAAATTGGTTCATTAATTCTTGGAGCGGGTTTTATGAGAAAAATGAAAAATTGGTTTAAATTTCAAGTGATGGGAGCAAGATAGTTTACTCCGCATGTGATCCAATCCTCCCCACATTCTACAGGGCGTCCCAATAAACATAGGAATTAAGAGACTTGAAAATCGTCTTTAATTTCCGATGGTTGATATGTCAACTAAGAGTGTATAAAAAATGATAATACTCCTATGAGAGCATTCCAAAATGTGGTCTGCCTTCTTTGTCTCTACAAAATTGACTGAGATATTAAACACTTGAACAATTTTGTTGTTATTTATATAATGGAATCTCGAGAGATTTCTTAATATCTCCGTCAATTTTGAAGATGAAAAATGTTTGACCACAATTTGGAAATCCCGAGACTAGCAGTTTTTATTGATAACTGTTTTGACAGGGACACCTCTAAAATTGTGTTTACAGCATAATGCCATGCGGAACAAAGACGACATAGAAGTCGTCATTTAATTCCCATGTTTATTGGGAGACCCTGTAGCAGAGAACAGGAAAATTAAAGAGGAACCAGAAAATGAAGAAGATGGAAGAAACTGAACGGAGAAAGGGAAAAAAGATAAGAAAAGAAAAGAAAAAATGACGTGGAAAAAGTAGAAAGTGAAAGGAAGAAAAATAAGGGGAGAGAAATTGCAAGAAGATGACTTTGATAAGGAAAAGGATAATTTTATTAGCAGGAAGGAAAAAGAATAAATTTTTTAGATAACGAAGAAAAATAAAAAAACGCAAGGGAAATAAGGAATGGACGAATAAAGATGAAAAGAACATAAAACGCACGGTTTGATAAAAGGATATGGATAAAGAAAGAGAAGGATGGGAAAATGTCTGTTATAAAACTTGAATAGAAAATTATGAAAAGAGTATGTAGAAAAGTAAGAAAGAAAAATGAGAAGAGAGGGTAGAATGGGAAGCAGGGGGAGTGTCTTGTGTATTTTAAAGGAATAATTATTATGGAACACTCTGGAATGCGGGTCTTCAGATAAAAATTACAATTTTCAGCTTGAGGGTGGGG